GATTATTGTAGAAATTTAATTATTTTCAAAAATAACAAAATTCTACGCAGAAATTCAATTATGTTCAAAATTTTTTTTAAATTCTCATCAAAATTTTAATTATTATCTTTATAAATAATAAAATCGTTCTCTGAAATTCAATTATTTTCCAAGTTTTTAACAAGATTCTTAGTAAAATTAAAATTATTTTCAAAAATTTTCTTTAATTCAATGATTTTCAATGTCTACTATTTTAATAAAACTTTCCAAAAGAATTTAATTATTAAACAAAAATTTTGATAAAATACAAGCAAAAATTTAATTACTTTTATAAATAAAAAACCTTTCACAAAAATTCAATAAGTCTTTACAAATTTTTTATAAGTTTCTTCTCAATAATTCAATGATTTTCATAAATAATAAAATTCTCAGAATTTCAAATATTTTTAATACAATTTCAATCGAATTCTTCGAAAAGTGTATAATTATACTTAAGAATTCTATTAAAATTCTTCAAAAGAATTCAATTATTTAAAAATTTTTTGATAAAACTGAAAGTAATACTTTAAAAAATTGTTTAATGATTATAATTGTAGTAAGAATTATTTATTTAAATATTCATTTCTAATAATTAAAATAATTCAGGATTATTATGTGTAATAATTTTTGTCATAGTTTTTTTTCACTTTGTCCTTATAAGCAACAGAATATATGATACTCGCATTGATATAGTAAATTAGGAGAGTTCTCACTCAGACTTCAGTGGCCGTGCGGTTTAAATGCGTCGCGTCGGGTCGTCATGGGTGGGGAGACGTGAGTTCGATCCCACATGCGAGCGGATATTTTTCATTGTAAGTGTTATATAAAATAATAAAATTACTATATTTAATCTGTATAAAAGTTATAAATGAAAATTGTAAACATGTTTGTAAATAATGTTAAAGGTCTGTTAAAGAATGAATTTAAAAAATGTACCAATTAACGCAAATTGGTTTTTTACAAAAATTATTTTTCAATATTACTATTTTAAATGATATTTACTGCTAGTGTAATATATTATTTATATGAAAATAATATAATTATTATAATAATAAGTTATTGTCATTATATATATATATATATATATATATATATATATATATATACCCTCACAGCACCGGGATATTCAAGATATCCCAGAGACGTCCTGGGGATATCGATTTGTTTTCGGAAGTTTGGATATCTCTGGGATATCCTAGGGACGTCCATGGATATCCAGAGGATATTCCAGGGATATCCAAACTTCCGAAAACAAATCGATATCCCCAGGACGTCTCTGGAATATCCTGAATATCCCGATGCTGTGAGGGTATATATAATGACAATAACTTATTATTATTATTAATAATTCATATATTCACATTACATTGAATAAACGTGAGAAACGAGTAAATTTGGATAAATTATTTAAAATTAAAAAACTGAAATATTGAAATCGAACCTAAAATTTTAAATATTAGCACTGCTCATTAGACCTGATTAGCTCGTCCAGTCTGGACCAACGCGTGGTTCGATCGTCACTGATCTGATTAACCCATGATCAGACAGTCTTTTCAGCGCCCCGTTAGAGAATAGACTGTCTTTCTGGCTCCACACTAGAACCCAACAATTTTTCTACACGGGACGTCCGCATGTTATCCTAAATATTCGAATGCTGTTAAGGATTCTATTAGATATTAGCTGAGCATAGGGTCAGAATTTCTCAAACGGATCACTTTAAAAAAATAATTTTGTTTTTTATCGAAAATAATTTTTTTTTACTCCTCGTAGAGTAAAAAATAGACCTTGAAAATTTTAGAACAAAAAAAAATTTTTTGTGAATGTTATTAACAATTTAGTTTTTTTGTAGTCTTAAATTAAGAAATTTTTTTCTCGTAAACTATTTGACCGATTTAAAAATTACGATATGGGTTTTCTTCGTCATGAAACAGAGTATTTAAAAATAATTTTGGATTTTAAAAAACTTCATTTTTAATAGTTTTTTATATTAATTGTTTATAAAATGTTAATAACAAATTGTGTTCTGCGCCTCAAAAAAAAAAAAAAAAAAATTGCCTAGTATTGCCCACATTCCCCTGAAAACAAAACCGTTTTGAAAAAAAATGTACGTTAATTACGAAAAAAGTTATTAAAAAATAACTGTGGCGGTGCACAGCGATTCATGACTCGCAAACATGGCTCTCATGGCACCTGTGAGGCATTATTCCTGAACTGCCCCAAAAATAAAAAAAAGTTCTTGGATTTCCTTTATACTTTGGAAATATGTTACCCTAGTAGGTACAAGTTACTACACCAATCTACAGGTCCAACCCCCCACCCCAATCAAAAGGGTGGGGGGTTGAAATTTCAGCTTAAACTCGAACATGCATTCTTTAAACATTTGTAGTTTCTACTTAAATTATTCAATTAAAAAAAGTAAGTAGTGTTTTAGAAAGGTTTTTTTGTGTACTTTTAAAATATTTTATTTATATAATAAAAAAAAAATTTTTTTTGCAAAAATTTTTTTAAATAAATAGTTTTTTGCAATTTTGCACTCCAGCGCGATGAACAGTGGGATTTTTTTTTAACTTACTATTGAAAATTGTCTAGAAACTGTGTTAACTTATAATGTTCGTTAGAATTAAATGAATAATTTATAGTATTCCCATTTCATTAAGGAGTTCATTTTTATGATAGTAAATATAAAAAAAGGAAAAAATTTTGTTTGATGAAAAAAGCTACTTATTTGTTTAAAAATGAAAAATTTGTTTATAACAAATGTAATTGTTTAAGCAAATAAATTTTTTAAGTTTTTGAAAGAATGTACATATGATATAAATATTTAAAGTTTAAAAAATGACGAAAATGTTTACAAATACAAAAGGAAGTTGATTATTGTTTATATAATTGTTAATATTAATGATAATTTTTAACTGTAAATTAGTTTTTTACTAAATTAGACATAAATTTAAACTTGTCTGCAAAAAAACCAATTTTTTTATGAAGAAGGTCCGAAGTAATCTATTTGTTAATTAACATTGTTTGCAACAATTTAAATAAATTGTATTATGCTTAATTAATTGTCCGGTGGTCATACTCGACTAATTTAAATTGATTTCGATCATGTGTAATGGAAAAATAAAAAAATTAACATGATTTTTTCTAAAAATATTGTAATTTGTCAAATTTTTGAGTAAAACAGAAAAAAATAAACAATTAAAAATTCAAAAATCGACTTTGATGGATTTCTTAGTAATTTTAAATCAAGAACATGAACATCCGATAAAATTTGTAGTTTCTAGACAATTTTCAATAGTAAGTTGAAAAAAAATCCCACTGTTCATCGCGCTGGAGTGCAAAATTGCAAAAAACTATTTATTTAAAAAAATTTTTGCAAAAAAAATTTTTTTTTTATTATATAAATAAAATATTTTAAAAGTACACAAGAAAACCTTTCTAAAACACTACTTACTTTTTTTAATTGAATAATTTAAGTAGAAACTACAAATGTTTAAAGAATGCATGTTCGAGTTTAAGCTGAAATTTCAACCCCCCACCCTTTTGATTGGGGTGGGGGGTTGGACCTGTAAATTGGTGTAGTAACTTGTACCTACTAGGGTAACATATTTCCAAAGTATAAAGGAAATCCAAGAACTTTTTTTTATTTTTGGGGCAGTTCAGGAATAATGCCTCACAGGTGCCATGAGAGCCATGTTTGCGAGTCATGAATCGCTGTGCACCGCCACAGTTATTTTTTAATAACTTTTTTCGTAATTAACGTACATTTTTTTTCAAAACGGTTTTGTTTTCAGGGGAATGTGGGCAATACTAGGCAATTTTTTTTTTTTTTTTTGAGGCGCAGAACACAATTTGTTATTAACATTTTATAAACAATTAATATAAAAAACTATTAAAAATGAAGTTTTTTAAAATCCAAAATTATTTTTAAATACTCTGTTTCATGACGAAGAAAACCCATATCGTAATTTTTAAATCGGTCAAATAGTTTACGAGAAAAAAATTTCTTAATTTAAGACTACAAAAAAACTAAATTGTTAATAACATTCACAAAAAATTTTTTTTTGTTCTAAAATTTTCAGGGTCTATTTTTTACTCTACGAGGAGTAAAAAAAAATTATTTTCGATAAAAAACAAAATTATTTTTTTTAAAGTGATCCGTTTGAGAAATTCTGACCCCATAACAAACAGAAATTATGATTCTGTTTTAGAACAAAATAAATATTATGCGTGTAAATCAAAATACTACAATTAGATAATTTTATATACAATCATGTAGAACTAGAAACTCATTTTTCAAAAATAATTAGTACCGAATGTACAGAAGCATTTGCGAAATAAGTCATTAATCGACATCACTCTATTCCACTGAGTTTAAATTTAGCATAGGAAAAATTAGTCTTTGCCTTCACATTAATAAACATTTTAATGGGACATGCATGAAGGGGAAATGTTACGTAAGGTGACGTCACACCAAACGGAATTACCTCACACAGATGACGATGCATGACGTACAAACTGGATGAGAATTTAAAATAAAAATTGAAAAACAATGACGTAACGTGAATGGTAAAATCACTATACATGATAAGAAAATTTTCTTTTGAGAATAAAAAATAGCCTTTTAAACCACATTAGTCTTCTAATTTGACGTAATAATTCTCCCGAGAAATTGTTCGAAAGTGCCAATTTTCGAGACAACCTGAAGGTTGAACTTGAAACGAATTAGCATAAACACACATTCGACTGGCGTTTGGATTAAGCTCGAGACGTCCGTGGAAAATGTTCTACCATCCTTAGAATGTTTATTCTCCGATATCGTCATACAGAAATACGTGTGTGTTAGGATTTTCATTTGCAATTGCTCCGAAATATTTAGCCTATCATACACTTATAAATAAAAGCGGATTTTAGACTGTATTCAATTGGGTGGGGGTAAAAGATCCGGCATTGCCACCGAAAATCGTGGTTTCGTCGACTCTCCGCCTTTTGTATAATGACCAAGACTAAGACGGTGTCCGAAAAGCAAATCGAAAATAGCTCAGCGGCTGTTGCCGCGTTAAGTAGTTAGTGCGGCGATGTCGACGACGAACGACGGTTCGACGGCACAGTGCGGGTGCCGGTGCGGATGCTGTGGCAGAAGACAACATCCTTTACCAAGGATAACGACACTGCTGTTAATTACGTTTTTGGTGTTAACACCAGTGGGTTGGTTAGGTAACGCGGGTGTTGGATTCAGCGATGCCGCATTATCATCATCGAGCTCCACCACAAGGGGATTGAAACAGGATCAGCATGAGTCGTCACGAGGAGGAAGCCATACACGAAGTGGTGGTGATCATGCACGAGCATCAACTCAAAGGGAAGCTGATCCAGTCATCGAGGAAGTCACTGCTAAACAGCTCGAGCGACTCCTCAATGACAAGGATTTTGTCGCCGTTTATTGGTGTAAGTGGCTTTAATAGTGCAAGACTCATAATTATCGGAGTGATACCGACGATTCCTCCAACGATTAAAAATTGTCTTAAAACGCTTACTACAAACAATCCTGGGTGGAGAAACTATTTACTATTTTCAAAAAAGTTTGGTCTGGCGAAAATTTCTTTTCCAAAAAGGGAATCAAGAATGTAATTTACGAAATGGATTACTTCGTTACAATGATGACGTTAACATCATCCTTAACGTTCCAAAGAACCAAAGAATCTTTGGGTCCAAATGACCCAGTGTGGGAACAAACAGGAATTAATGCTCTAACCCAATTAATTTGCTTGCAGAAAACTTGCAGTGCAAGTTTTGCAGCAAGTTTAACGTTCATTTAGAAAGCTTACGAGCAAGCTTTCAGCAAATTTAGCTATAACTGCTTGCAGCTAACTTGCACTGCAAGTTTCTAGCAAGTTTAAATATTAATTGAAAATCTGTTAAATAAAATTCTGGGCCAACTTTGCTGCTGAAAAGAATAAAATAAATAACTTTCAGAAAAAAAATCAAGTTAGAAAAATGGAACTCCCTCCGTGTTTTTTGTCACGTTCGCCGGCCCTGCACACACGTATCCGATTTCTTTAACATTTCGTTGGTGGGTGGTTTTTCAGTGTCTCTACACATATTACGAAATTATGTTTGGGATATATTTACGTGAAACGATGTGAAAAAGAAAAATCTTTTTTTAGTGTTTCCCCTTTCTTTCTCGCTTGACTTTTCTCCTTCGGATGACTCCCATTTTTGTTAATTAACGAGTCAAGGCAATTGGGATCTGAAAGAGGAGTCTGCGTCCATTTTAAGTTGTCATTAGTATTTCATTGGTTCCCATCGTAAATCAAATCCAAAAGTAGTAACTTTTGAATGGGAAAAATAAATTGTACTTTTTCCCACACCGTTAAAAATTCTCATTAATTGTAACTGTTCGTCTTTAACAAAGAAACAGAATAGTTAAATTTAATTTTAATAACAGTTTGCATTCGTTATAAACTCAAATCGAGAGATGAAGAGAAAATATATTATTTTATAATATGCTATTTGAATCGTTGTAAAAGTAAGCAGGAAACATAAATAAAAATGATTTTAATTTTAAATCGAGCTTTTAAGAAATTTTCAGAAAAAACAGTAATAAATTTCTACCTACGCGAATTTTGCAAAAAATAGAAAACTTTAAATTTATCGCACCTAGTTGATCAAAGGGTTAATGAACTTACAAAATCTTTTCACAAAATAAAAAATGAACAATAAAATTTTTTTACTTTAAATTTACAAACTTAAAAAAATACAATTTTTACCAATAAAAATATTTTATTTTTCGATTTTATCTTCACATTTAAGGAAAATTTCTTTTGGCGTATTGTTATCTGATGCAACTTTTTTAATATTAGGGTACTTGAGCACTTCGACCCTTTATAGAAAGGTTCCTACTTGAAATCTAATCATAGATTTTGGCTGAACGACAAATGTTCGAATCAACCTTGTATCTTTACAATGTAGTTTATTGTCCACTTAGTGTTTAACTTTAATCTCCCCTTAACATTCTTAGAGAATAATTTTTCTTCAGAATTCGACACTAACTTTATAAATATTTTAATAATGTTAAAAGGAAATTAAAATTAGCTTTATTATTATTTTAACACTAGATGAAATTTATAATTGCTAACAAAACAGTGCCCTCCTTTAAGTCTTTTAATATTTCAGAGCCAGAATATCATCAACTGGCATAGCAACTTCAAGTTCATATCCGTACAAAGCCTCGCGTTTGTAGCACTATGTCAGTTCTGTTTATATTCTGAGGTCAGGATTAAGTGTTTCATACATATATTATCTATCTGTTGGACCATGTTCCAAAAATGTATTCAATTTTTGGATTTATTCCTTTTTTCGTTCCAAATTTGATGTTTTTTTTCATCTTTTAGTAAAATTCGTAATCAAAATTAAAAAGAGTAAATTTTTGTTGAAAGTGTGAATTTTTTTCCTATTTGTTTTCTTTTTTAAACTTTAGTTTCTTGATAAATTAAAGATATATTATGGAGTCTTATCTACATTTTTAATAATTGGAAATTCGAATTTTTTTAACGAATTGACGATTTTTGTATTCTTTAAGTTTCGTGTTCTTAGCGTAAATCACGACACGATTTCTAGTAGCTTCTGCTTTTAGAAAGCCGTACGGTTATTTTAGCCCACCTATCGCCACCTCGACTTTACTCTAGTCGACTTGACAGGCACTGACTCTCGAAATTTTGTTTTTCTTTCTACTTGTTTCTTCACCTGCCTCATTGACATTTTCTTTTCTCAATCTTAGCTACAGAGTTTTCTCTCTCTCTCTCTCTCTCTCCAATTTCCGGCAAATTTAATTAGTCTAATTTTTAATTTAGTTAAATAAATTTTTAGTTAAATAAATCCTCTCATAAATATCATGAAATTATTCAAAAAATTTTTCAAGAAACATTTTTAAGAAAGTTTTCGCCATATTGGATCGGCTATTTTGAAATTGAAAAATTCGAAAAAATTTGCTTTCGACGAACTGAAGAAGAAAATAATAAAGAGAATTTTAAAAAAATATTTCAATAAAACAATTTTTTTTATTTAGAAAAAAAATTATTTTACTATTTTTTGTTTTCTTTACTTTTAGGTTGCAAACAGTGTTTATCGATTTCTTGTTTATCTCCAGTAAGGAAGATTTTTATTTGATAAGCATATATCTAAATCATTTGAACATGTCAATATATCAAACACTATATAGAAAGGCATGGAAATGAGGCCAATGTGCGGCTTTTCAATAACAAGGCTATTGCAACATCTGCTAGATGTCTTCTGCTTTTGATGCATTTCAAAATTCACTTCTACCGTAAAATTCAAAACTTCATTTAAACTTATTATTTTCTAAAAAAATCTTTTTTTTCTAATATAACAAAATATTTCTTTTTAATTGCATTGAACCTTATTTATTGTCAAAAGATAAAAAAACAAAATTTATATATTACACAATTTAAAGAAATTTATTTATTGCAAACTAAAAAACTAAAATTTATTTATTACAAATTAAGCAACTAAATTTTATTTTATTGCCAACTCAAAAACTTAAAATTTATTTATTGCAAACTGAAAAAATTTAAATCTTTTCGTTAAAAGGATCGAAATTTAATTATCTTGGAAAATTAAAATCCTTTATGACAAAAATCAAATGAAATAATTTTTTATTTCTTTATATAAATAATAAAAAAATAAAGAAATAGTTTTTTATTTAAACTAAATTGAAAATAAAATTAAAAGAATCGAAAATGTTAATAAAAATAGCCATTAAACGTAAAATAATTTTTAATAAAACTTTGTATTTTCATTACTAAATAAATATGTGTAAGGTAATTAATAATACTGAACTGTTTAAATTCATCATTTTCGTTTACAAATTAATAAAACATGATTTACGAAATTGTCAATTCAAATAATGAAAATAATATTCAATATTGGAAATAAAACGTAGGCAAAATTTATTAACAGTAAAAATATGTAAACAAAGTTAATATTTATCATCAGGTAATTTGAGCATAATTGGAATGAAAGAATTCCGAAATATATTCAAAGATTAATGTCAAACGATGTTTTGTAAAATAAATAATTGATTCAAAATTTTCAAAAATTTATTTTATGCTTTATTTTCAGTTTTTAAATTTATTTTACGTTTTATTTTGAAAATTTATTTTACGCTTTTGATTATAATTACATCGAATTAAGTGGTAGATGAGTTGTGCGCAAGCGCCGGAGTGAGGTCAATGAGAGTAAGAGAGAAAAATTGTAACATCTTTCTCACTCTCATTGTCCCCACTCCGGCGCTAAGGGAAAGTTGAAAGTAAACACTGGAGTGGGGATATAGGGAGTGAGAGAGATATTGCAATTTTTCTCTCTCACTCTCATACTTAGCTTTTGATTTAAGTACCTGTTAAGAGTGTGTTGTAAATACAGTCAATGGCAGTTGAAATTTTATCGTTATATTTCCAAAGTCAAATCGTTCGATGTGGGCCAATGCGTGGGAGATATTTTCATATTTACTTTGCCGAGAGATGAAAGAGCTTGCGAAGAAAATATTAAATGGAAAAGTTTGTAAAAAAATAGGCGCATGGAAATTTAAGTTCGTTCCTTTAAGGTCAATTTTTTTTAAAGGTCATTCATCAATGAATTGAAAAAGTCCTATCAAGCCATACCAATGTTACTCATCAGCTGAATAATAATGACAATCGATATTGGCAAATGGCCATTCATTATTATCATTTAATTATACTTTGTTACACAAGTCACGTGTACATATAAATTCTATTTAATCGAAATAATAAATTTCCACAAGGAATTTACTAATAACATGAGGTTATTAACAAAAGAAAAATAAACTTTCGTTACATATATAATACATAACGAAATTTTTTTCAGAATATTAAAGAAAACTAATAAAAAAAAAATACTTGATAAAAAATTCACTAAATTTGATAATGATCTCTTACTTTTTGATGGTACACCAAAAAATTGCCAGTTGATCATAATCCAAAATATTTTTCTCTGATTTCTGTCTTGTTTAGATTCTCACTCGAAAACCTTCTATTCATAATAAAAAAAAAACGTTTTGTAAGCAACGTAATTCAAGTTTGAATGTCTTCAAACCAATTCATCTTCAAAGTTCTTGGCACTTGTGTAATCCTAATAATGTATATCAAAGGTTCCATTTTTCAAAAAATTTACAGTATTCTCTTTTTTTTTTAATCAATAAAATTTTGTCATCAAATAAATTTTTTCCTGGTTTTTAAATAATTTTCTATTATTTTTCTCTTTTGTTATGAATTTTTTCAATTGCTTGCAGTAGAAAATATAATGGAAAATAGAAACAAAATTGGAGAAGAAAGAAAAGGAAGTGAACTTTTAAAAATAATGAAATTAGAAATTATCTGAGTTTTAGAGTAGTAAAAATTAATTTAAGTTTT